ACAGGTTAGGTAAGCTAGGGAGAGCTATATGAGTCATGCTGTCACCTGTCTGCGTGCCTTTGAGACGACCAAATGAAAAGTTCATTGTTTGATTTGACCATTATTAGGTGTTGTGAGATTTTTCGCCTGTTTTGTGTTTTTAAAGGCCGAGTCACTTTGACGCGACGATTTTTACATTGACTACTTGTTCCTCACTGTGGCTTTCGCACTCCCACCCACGCAGGATGACCTCCGCTCTCTCAGGCAGGTCCTCTGAAACCCCTCTCCGGGCAGGTCCTTCCGACGCCCTCTCCTGGCAGGCCATTCACAAGCCCGCTCCAGACAGGTCCTCCTCCAAACACCCTCTCCGCGCAGGTCCTCCAGACACCCTCTTCGGGCACCACCTCCAGAAGCTCCGACCGTTACACCCTCTCCGCCGAGCCCCCCTTCCGGGGCACCTGCTCCGGTGCACGACGCGCACGTCCTTGCCGCGCTCGCGACCCGCGTCGGGACGCAGTGAGGCGCGACACGGACACAGGCGACACGAAAGGGCCGCGCAGAGCGTCGAGCAGAGCGTATGGACTTGGCGGAAGCGGCGCTCTGCGCGGCGGGGCCCGAGGGTCGGCAGCAGGAGCGGCCGCAGCAGCGGCAGCACCAGCACCAGCACCAGCACCAGCACCAGCACCAGCACCAGCACCAGCACCAGCACCAGCACCAGCACCAGCACCAGCACCAGCAGCGGCACCAGCACCAGCAGCGGAGCCCCCGCCTAAGTGGCCGGCGGTGCGCTGCCCTGCCTCTTCTCTTGCCCGCTCGCGTGCATGCGTCCTCGCGAGTATAAATGGGCTTGCGTGCAAGAGTGCGCCACCGCGCGTGTCGTTTGCGTCGCACAAAAATAGCAACAACACAAAAACGGCCGAATTAATATACCCAACCGACCGCGGCCCTATTTTGATGGGACAATGATGCCTGCGGCCCCTATGCCCCCCCCCCCCTTGTCCAGCCCTGCCCTGCAGAACTACTACATACTACTGTTCAGGCGTGACCTGACCACCGCGCAGTACATGCTGCTGCTGCGCCGACTCGTGGCTGATTTGTTGTGTTGTCCGCTCACCACCACGGGGCCGACTCCACCCTCTTTTATGATTTTGCAATGTCGTTGTGTTGGTGGTGGTGGTGGTGGTGGTCGGGCTGTGCCGCTATGGTGGCGGCCCGTGGTGGTATCGGCCCGCTGGTGCTGATGGCGGTGGTGACGGTGGTGGCCCCCCATGGTTGTTGGGTCCCACAATGGCTCATTGGTCCCGGCCCCCCCGCCCCGCCCATATGGGTGCAGCTGCAGCAGCGCTGTGCCGCCCACGCCGGCCCGCCCGCGACCTTGCCAATTATACACCTGTGTGACCCCATTACCACTATCGGCTCTGCGGCGCGCGCTGAGCATAGGGAAGCAGCAGAACCAGTGTCAGGTCCGCGCAGACGCGCTCGCGTGTTCTATTGTAGATTTCGAACTCGCGAGTATATCATTCCAATTCGAATTATCCCGCGCTTTTCTTTGAGAAACCGCGCGAGCGAATGAAATGATGAAGCAGAGTGAAAACACACGCAGGCAGCAGCGGCGGCGATGGCAACAGCAGCAGCAGCAGTGGCAGCCCCTCCCTGCCAGTCCATCTGCCTGGCAGAAACAGGTTCCTCGGTAATTGATGCGACACTCTTGTTACCTCTCTACAGCAGAGCCGCGCCCTGCGAGTCGATAGCAGCCACAGGCCTCGCCGCGGGCGCCTAGACGGCACATAGGCCACCACTACGTCTATCGTTATCATGCGCGCAAAAATAATATATCAACGAGGTAGGCAGTTTCCGTAGGTAGTTGTCTTTGAATTTCGCCCGCGCCGCGAGCCGGGCGCGGCGGGAAGAATTTTGCCCGCGGACGCAACACGAAGCACACACACACACACACACCGTCCCGCCCTGCTCGGCCGTGCCCCGCGCGGTCTCCGTGCAGCGCGAGTCCGCAGCAGCGGGCGTTGACCGGGGGAAACTGCATCACGGCGCCTGTGACTAGATTGACTGCTGCTGCCTCCCCGCTGCCCCTCCCCGCACCCCTCCCGGAGGGACGCGTTGCTTCCGCCCCCCGCAGGCGCGAGGGGGGTAACCTGCTGCTGGGCACCTGCTGCTTGGGCTCCAGCGGGGTGCCAGTTTGACAACCTGTTGGGTGCCTGCCGGTATGACCGGGTATGACGCACTGCCGGTGACGCACACACACACACACACACACACACGGTCGCATTTATGTTTCGTATTGTTTGTCCATTCTTATTGTGAAAAGCGGTGCGAATGCTAAAGAAAAGGCGCAGACTGGCCGACGGCGTCAATGAGGTGGCGTCGACATAGTCGACACAGGCTCCCTAGCGTCGACAGTACGTGCCCACCCCGCCCCACCCTATCCCACCAATCCGGGCACGCATCATCTTTTTTCAAGATAGATTCTTGATTCAGATTTTTGTTTCATTTTTGGAAATTTTGCCTTGATTTTTTTACAAAAAATGTTTTGGAGGGTGTGCACTGATTTTTTTTTGGAGCGAAGCACCCCGTGCCTACCCCTTCCCCGCCGGTCAGCTGCAGCAGTAAGGGCTCAAGTTCAACACTGTCTTTTGGAGGTGCGCGGAGTGTCAGTGACCCCAAGGACCTGGCCTGGGTTGGTCCGCGGGGGGCCCTCGACCAGGGAGGGGGGCCCTGTCCCAGACGACTAACCGTTGTCCACTCACTCCCGGTCGCCCCGGCGCCGGTCGGTACCTGGCACCCCCCCGGACTGTTTAACGGCGGTGTCCTGGAGTACCGGTTCAAACTTATGGACACGAGGTGCAGGAGGAGGGGGAGGAGGGAGGGAGGAGAGCAAGAAAATAAAGCGTTGTTTTGGTGGTGGCCGGCGGCGTCCTACCGCCTGCCTGGAGACCACTGGAGCCCGACGGCTGGAGAACACGTTCCTTTGTGGAGGAGGCGCGGTGGCCGGCGCCCTGCTGCCCACTATAATTTCTTCTCATTTTTTCCCCTGCTCTTATCATGGAGGACACATTATCATCCCCAGACAGGACTCACTACACTCACATTTCTCATACCCACACGCGACGCGACGCATCCCGTTAGCTCTGGCGCGGCGGCCCGGCGCAGTAGTGCCCGGCATTGTTCTCCCTCCACAGCAGCAGCAGCAACAGCAGTAACAACAACGCCCCGCACCACGCACGCACCAGTCTGGCCCGCGCGCCGCCGCTGATCTCCGTCCTCTTTCTCGACCCCCTTCTCGATCTCTTGCTCAAACACTTCCTCAACCCGCAGCCTCCTCAACCCTCAACCTCATCAACCCCCAATCTCTTCAACCCCCCACCTGAACTTCCTGCTGCTTTAGCTCCTCAAACTCCAATCCAACCTCGTCAATATCTTCCTCCTCTACCTCCTGCTCCGCCTCAACCTCCCTCTCCCCCTCAATAACCTCCTCCACAACCTCCTGCTCCTCGTCAATAACTTCCTCCTCAACCTCCTGCTCCTCCTCAGTAACCCCCTCCTCAACCTCCTGCTCCTCCTCAATAACCTTCTCATCAACCTCCGCCTCATCAACCACCACACCACCTTCCCAGCGGAGGAAGGGGGAAGCGGGAGAGGAGAGGAGAGGGAACCTCGCCACCTCCTCACAATGGCCACCCATCACAATTCATATTCGCATATTGCGTGACGTAATGTGACCGATTGGCGCGCGGCGGCGTGGCCGGCGGGGTCATCGCCGCCGCGGCTTCGGTGTCGGGAGTCTAATTGCGTATGGCGCGCATGTGGGAGGAGCAGCAACAACGACGACGACTCTCTGCTCGCCTCGCCGCTCTCCCCGTGCGGCTGGTATTTTTTAGCCGCCAACTAACTAAACGAGCAGTCTCAGCCACTTTGGGGCTGCCCTGCGCGGCGCCGGCTGGCTGCGCGCGCGCGTTTAACCAGACGCATTTCCATAATCTGCCTCGAGCAGAGGCGGGCGGACGGCGGAGGCTCGGGCAGGACTGGGGTGCGCCGGGGCCGCCGGGGCCGCCGGGGCAGGTGGTATCGCAAGCAAAAGCAAAAGGGGTATTATTGGCTAAATGCGAGTTGTTGTTGTTATTGTTGCGAACCTCGCGCGGGGCGGGGCGCTATATGCGAGCAGCAGCCTTTCTCTTGTCTTGCGCAAGCTGAAGCTGCTCTCCATAAATCCGTCGCGCGCGGTGGGGTGACCCCAGGAGGATGACCCCGCAGTCGTCGCCGCAAGGCCTGGGCCCACCACTGCGGCCGAGTGGGCGCGGGGGGTCCGCGGCCCCGCGACCGTTCCCGCGAGTTCCCCCGCGACGTTCATGGAGTGAGACAAGACATGTCTCCGGGCGCCCGCGCCGGCAAGCCAGTGGGTGCGTTATACGGCGGCTCGCGGGACTAACATTTTTTCCAGTGAGTGTTGTTGATTTTGTGCCACGGTTACCGCTATATGTCCCCGTTCTCTAGTAGTTATCGTAGGCTGTATGGGCGATCTCGGAAAGGGTTCCATCATTGTAGGATGGAGACACGATCGGTATGGGGACTGTAACTCGTAAGTCCCTCGCTTCCACAAAGCCCCTCGTCTGCTTCTCTTGGTCTCGGTCTCGACTGGTCTGGGGTCTTTCCATTGTCATCCCTGCCCTTCGGCCCTCTTCTCCTCCTCCTCCTGTTCCTCCCCCACCTCCTTTACCGTTACCGCGTCCTTGTGCCCTGCCCGGTGCGGCCCGGCTGCCCCGACTGCCCTGATTACCCGGTCACCAGGTGGGCGGGGCAGGGCGGGGCGGGGCGGGGCGCCGAGCGAGGCGTCAAGCGGCGCAGCGGGGCGTTCACGAGACTACTCAACTTGCATGCCTTTTTAACGTTTTTCGGGCTGGGGCAATCATCCACCCGGCACACAGAGATTTGCCGTGTCCTCGTAGTATTTATTTATTGGTTTTAAAAATCAAACTGATTCCTATGTTTTGTTTTTCTCTGCCCCCCAGGAACCCGTCATGGTGGAAGCGGCGGAGCCGGCTGGAGCGGCTGCTGACGGCGGCCACGGGCGGCCTGATGTGCGTGGCGCTCGCCCTGGTGGTGGCGCTCGCCGTGGTGGCCGTCCACGACGACGCCAGCGCGACAGGTCAGGAAGGGCCGGAGCTCGGAGCGGGAGGGGCGCGGTGGGGCGGGCGTTGTCCATCTATGTGTGTGCTTCGGTATCGCACCTGCAGCAAACTCTCTTTTTATCATATTTTTCTATCGTTACGCCGTCTTAAATAAATAATTTCAGGTCAATCAGTCTAGAGAGATACAGATAGAATCGATTACTCGCCGTGATCAGTTCGCTTTTGTTGTCTGCTTTCAACTATGGAGTAAATTCCATTGTTTTAACCTATGGAGCTTCTCAATCCGTTCCAAAAGATAAAGCGGGGAGTGCTGTGTGTTTTTGAGTGCTGTGTGTTTCTGGGTGCTTCAAATTACTCGGCTTGCCGTGCTAACATGGCCGCGATCATTGACCACTTTTTACTATATCTCAATATCGTTATTCGATCGTTATCAATTACGATATTTACAAAATTAGCGATATCGCAAACGGCAAAAGTTTCTTTCTTAATTTGTTTTTCATGCCATTCAAATTGTTTCCATATTTCTAAAGGTGCCTTCTCCAGCAAGTTTGCGTCGTCTTCGTTTTGAAAAGTCAAAGCCTTCGAGGAACAGGCCGTGCGTCTAGTGGCCGGGCCGGGCCGGGCCGGGCGGGGCGGAGCGGTGGGTGTGGGTGTGGGAGCTACTCGACTGGAGAGTCCGTCCGTGCGCGCGCAGTTACTCGCGGGTCAGAGCCGAGCGGTGACCGTGGGTCCTGGCCGTGGGTCCTACCTCACCTGGTTCTCAGAAGGAGCACACTTGGCTGCGCGCAGAGCGCCCCGTACCGCGGCTGGGAGTACGTCACGCCCCGCGGGCTCGTCTGCTCTTCTGTTGGCAGATAATTATTCAATCCACATCCGGCTCCTTTGAGGGATCTATAAATGCCGAGCACAA